AAAAAATAAAACAAAACCAAACCTCCAAGAGGAAAAAGGTAGAGACTTGTGCTTGCAAAGTTTTAATAATACAGTTTATTGGGTCAAATACTGACTGAAACTGCAAATAGTGTCTGCTATGCATATCCAAGAAATATTTCCACTGTTTTTCTTGCAAATATAACATCAGCTTTACAGTCCTGCAGATTATAAATCACATGCTTTTTATTTTGGGGGTAGGGATATTAGATTTTTCTTCCATTTGTCCTATTTTATTTAAATAGTTCAAACCTTTGTGGTTTGGTCATTAAAATCCAGTTGGCAGTGAGGGGCTAACTCTTTATGTTTGCCAGCTGTGTTCCTGCCAGTTACACGCAAACATTATTAGCCAGATGACCATGTTTACAGCAGCCGGGTAAAGGTTTCCCATGGCCCACCCCAGCAGACACAGATGCTTGGGGTGCCTGCAAAGAAACTAGAAATATCAGAGGAGTGGAGCTGACCTCAGTGTGAAATAGCTGCCCAAGGAAAGTGCTGCCAACCTAACTGCTGGGCTCAACCCACCCAGTGGAGGGGGCACTGCAAGCAAATTTAAAAGTTGCTATCTGATGGGGCAAGAAAAGAACAAAAGAAAAGAAATGGTATGATCACAACATTGATAAAGGAAGTGAAGAAAGCTTTTCCTTCATGTAGACATTTTTCCATAAAAGCACATTTGACACAGTGAATTATTTGCAAAAATAAAAGAACCCTAAAATTTATGTAGAAAGTAGAAGTCAAAAAAATTTTTTTAAAAAAGACCTGAAAGAAGTACAAATGTCATGTTTCTTGATTTCTGAACTTCTCAGGATGCTGTAGTAGTCCACAGGCATGGTACTAAGCATAAACACAGACAATAGAATAGAACAGAGAAACCAGTGCATGCATGAGACTCTGGGCTTGATCCCCAGTGCCACAAAAAAGAGAAAAAAGAAAGAACCTGGAAATAAGCTCTCAAAGATGCAAATGATTTTTGACAGGGATGCAACCATTTAAAAGGACAGTTTCCTCAACAAATGGTGTTTAGCAAACAAGATATCTACTAATAAAAGAATGAAGTTGTACATTTACATTGTGTACAAAAATTGACTCAAATGGATTTAAGACATAATTGTAAGAGCTAAAACTATAAAAGTCTCAGGAGAAAACATAGCAGAAAGCTTTATGAAACCATATGAAGCAAAGAAAAAGTAGATATTTAGTACATTTAATTTAAAACTTATACATCAAACAATACTATCAACAGATCAAAGAAGCAACCCCCCTGAATGGCAAAAGTATTTGAAAATTATATGTCTTAAAAAAGAGACTAGTATTTATAATATATTAAGAACGATTACAACTCAACAATAACCACCACAAAAAAAAACTCTGAGTAAACAATAGGCAAAGGCTTGAATCAATATTGCTCCAAAGATATATGAACCACCAATGAGCACATGAACAGTTCCTCAATATCACTAATCATCATAATCAGGCAAATCAAAGCCCCCATGAGATATCACTTCACAATCATTAGGGTGACCGTTAGGGGAAAAGTAACAAACCCTGCATACACTTTTTTTCTTATACATACATTACTATAAGGTTTAATTTATAAATTAGGTGAAGCAGGAGATTGAATATAATTATCAGTAATGGAATAAGTATAAAATATACTGTCATATAAGCTATTTAAAGCTTATGAATTGCTTATCTCTGAATTTTCTGTTTACTATTTTCAGGACTGTGGTTGACATAGATAACTAAACCTATAGAAAGCAAACCCATGGACATAGGGGAGTTTTACACATTTGAGGGCCTTCTGGCCATTGGAGGCCACCAAGTTACAAAGGCCAGAAGAGGTGGGAGAGATGGAGCTAGACAGCATGTTTTGAGTTAGCGTTTTAACAGAACTATTGCATCTCGAAATCATGTGGTAATTTTGACAAATTGATGGCCAGCAATCTCCTCACTAGGGAGAATACTTGGCCATCATTAAATATTGATCCATTCTGTTGAAAGGAAGTACTAATTCTTAAATCAAACAATTCCACAGAATACATTTCAATACCTTAGTAAATGGAGTATGTCTGTGCTATACTTGCAGCCTGACTATAACATGGGACAGTCAAATGACAAAAATAACTTTGCAACAAATGTCCTAAAAGACATTTTGGTGACTTCTTCCAGCCTCTAATTCACTAGTTTTCAAACTCTTGACCAACTGCTTGTCATCACCCCAACTTGAACGTGGAGTTGGGGAGGGTAGAGTGTAGAAGCACAAGCTAAGATTCATCATCCAGCCAAGGGGTGGGAGGGAGGGAGTGGTATAGAGACTTCCGGTGCAATGAAGCTTCTGCCACCTCAGACAGGAAGTGCACCGTCTGAGACCGGACACGCACTGCCCCTTACTGGATGCACATCATCTGTGACCGGATGTACACTGTCACAGGGGCAGAAGGATCCCGGACTCTTCTTAACCATTTGGGTATTCAGTCACCCTTGGCAGTGCTCCAAGCAGTTTTTGCTGTGACTGACTGGAAGGAGAAGTGGAGCTTTCCTGACTTGAAGCTACAAGCTTGAAGACATTTGCCCATAAGCTCAGGAGATCTCTACTGGATCGCAGAACATGTGTTACTCTCAGGAGTGCCAGGACACGGCTGAATTTTCTGTCCTAAATTACTTTGCCCTCCATGCTGTGACTCCTTGTGCTTAAAAAGAAAAAAATGGTATGGAAAGAGAAGTCCCTTATATCTCTGTTCATTGTCTGGATACCCCATGGCCAGAGACTAGGCTAGTGGCAAAGAATGCCACAAACATCAGGTAGCCTTCCCCACACCTCAGCTCTCTTGGGGCACCATGCTGTGAGCATCACCGAAAAGACTCAAAGTTGCTTGAACAAGGATCTTGGAAGAAAGGAAAGGATGTCCATGCCTGCGGGGTTCAGAGAGCAGGCACAAAGTGGGAGGAAGTGACAAGAGCAGGCCCAAGAGGCAGTGACTGCCTGGTGCCATCCCAAGGCCATTGCAGAATGGGACCTACATGCGTGGGAGCCAAGCACTGCACCAAAATGTCCTGCATCGTTTACTCACTCTGTCTGCATCCTGTAGCGTAGTTTTCATTTTTGACATCCTTTTATCACTGAGAACATTAAAGTCTATTATTCTGGTCATGTTCAGCCTTTAGCTGAAGCACCCCAAGAGAGGCATGGGATCCAGAAGTGTCAGCCAGCTGGGCCCCTGTGCAGGTGCTCTTGCAGGAGGTCCCAGCTGAGATCCCCGTGAATAGCACAGAGATTTGCCTGAGGTCGTGAAGACTACAGGAGGTGGAAGTGATGTCAGGCAAATCACTGTGCAATGCTCTTGGAGCACAGGCTTAGACATCGCCTGACTAAGGTCTGCAGCCTTATTTTAAAAGGTTGGAAAAGTGGAAAGGCAATGTACATATTTTTATACTGTTTGATACTGTATTCAACAAAATTTTTCTATCAAAAGGCTTTGCAGTATCTATATTATGTTTTGTGGGCACAAGAGCATTTGGCACAATGAGCTTTGCCATTGGAGTGAGAAAAGGAATAGGAGTGGCTGGCTGTATCCTAATAAAACTTTATTGACAAAAGCAGAAACCAGAATGGATTTGTTCTAGAGGCCATAGTTTGCCAACCACTGCTCTATTTCACTGCTTGCTGCCTTCTGCCTGCCATGAACTGTTCTCCTCTGCCGTGCCACCCTGCCTTGGAGCCAGCCAACTATCAACTGAAACCTCTCCAACTGTGAGGTAAAATGAACCTTTGCTCTTCAAATTTAGGTGTCAGGTATTGGAGGTTCTCATTGAACATGACAAATATCCTTGTGAAGGAAAACGGTTCCATCAGACAGGAAAACCTCAGTCTGTGGCTGTCTTCAAGGCCAGAAGAATCAAACTCATGGTGAAAGAAAGCATTTCAAGCTATGTTCTCAAATGCCTTATGTAAAAGAAGAAAATATACACATAAAATTACCAAACACCTTATTCCACCTACTGCTCAGCTAGCCAGGCAGAAAACTATACAGGCAAATAAATTTCATTTTTTAAATGTGGCTTTATAACTGATATTTATACCTAGCTACAAAATAGAAGGCATACAGAAAATCAAAAAAAAATTTTTTGTCCAAAAACAAGGCCACATCTAATAAGTGGCAAAAAAATGCCCTTTATTTAACAGTGTTTTTGCTGTCCAGATCCAATTGTATTTACATTTAGATGATAGTTGTATTAGTCAGATTTCCCATTGCTGGACACAATACTTGACACACAAAATTTAGAGAAGAGGTATAACTTAGGTCAGATTTCAGGGCACCAGTGCACGGTAATCTGGCTCCAAAGCAGAAACATCATGGCAGAAGGGTGTGGTGAAGCAAAGCTACTTAGTCTGTGTTGGCTGGGAACAGAGTGAGGAACAGCAACAAAGAGGAGGGAACTGGGGACCAGACACAGACCCCCAAGTTCACACTGCCCTGACCCACCAGTACAGCCTCAGAAATGTGCTCCACCAATCTCCCATGCAGATCTCAAGATCGGTGAAGTTGATATTTCACCCCCACTGCCTCAGCATTACCACAGCATTGTGAAAACAGTAAATTATACATAGATGTCTTCAATTTTGTATCTAGAAATATATCTGGACTGTTGGTTCAATTAGGACCACCACAACCAACACGACAGCTCAACATTTGAGGCCATTTAGATAGAGTCACAGTTTCCAAACCCTCAAATTATTGCCTTCTAGATGAAGAAATCTCTAAATTATGGGTCATCTCCACTAAAGCATACTCACTTATTTAAAGAATATGGACTTCCTCACTATATACTACCCAAAACTACAGCTTGAGTACCAAGTTATGAAAAGGATCAGATTCACCATGTAAGATTGGGAAGACGAAATATAAGCATCTATGTTTGAAATGTAATAAATAGGAATGTAGCTACATAATTATGACACCTTAGTGTCTTGGGCTGATCCGAATGCTTTCTAGGTCAAATGCATGGCGACCCAACTGCATGGTCCGTATACTTCCGGTTGTGTTCTCAGCTCAGAACAATGCACAGGACACATGCTGATAGGATTGTTGGCAAATCACTTGATTATGTTCCCTGATATTCAGCAGATGCCTATAACCCACATGGGGAACACAAACGTTCACTCAGTTGCTCACCACAACATTAAATTGAAACTGACCGAAGGACGCAGGCATAATATTTAATAGAAACACAAAGAATTGTAAGTGACATTACTCCAGAATTTATGACTTCTCAGACTGCCTCAGTTCTTTTAGTAGCAGATATTCCACTCACCCGATCAATGTGTATTTATTGTCAGATTCGCTCTTGCTCTTTGGCGCAAAAAGCCAGTGGAATATTCCACATGAACTTGATTTAGAATAGACCCAGGGGCGGATGAGCCCTGTGGCTTTGGATGTTAGGAAAAAGAGAGTTGATTTACGATGTCATTTCTGTTTGTATGTGATTCATTTTCTGCTAAGACCACAGCATTTTCTTCAAGTAGAAAGGTTTCTTGGGATGCTGTCTGTGCCCTCCTCTCCCCCGCCAGGTTTGCCCTCTTCTTCCCTGCTGTCTTCTTCCCCTCGCAGTCCACACATCTTCCATGAACAAGTCTTTTTCAAAAACCAACAGACGCTCTATAAAGACAAGAGTTACAATCGGAAACATCCATCTTCATCTTTGCCGTGATTTCAAAACTCATTTGTGATTAATTTCTGAGGAAAAAAGGAGAGAATGTCAAACAGAGCAGAATAGAGAAAGCTTCCTTACAGTCCTGTTACTTAATAGCACAGCCTTTCATGAGTAACAGGAGCTATGAGAGAGGAGCTATGCTCTTGCTAGATTTTTTAAATTTTTGTGTTTGTAGCATTATTAACAAGACATAGCCACCTATTGTTTCAATTTTACAAAATTCTTCATCATATTCATCAAACCATATAATAATACCGTATTTCCTTTGGTAACCATGAAGCATTTGGGAGCATCCCAAAAGTAGCTTTTAAGAAGAGAAACTTCATCTCTACGTTTGTGTGGTCTAGTGTATTTCAGAATCTACTCATTAACAAAGATGATGTCAATTGGATAAAAGTAAATATGCAGACAAATCTACAAGTCAGATGATTTGTCTCATGTCCTCAATCGACAAGGCATCTGAAATACATTTTCTGAGTTTTAAAAACAGTGTCAAGTGCGACACAAATACGCAGGTGGTAAGGAGTTAACAAACATGAATCTGTTGAAGATCTGCGATCCATTCATTTGCACTTTCTGACCCATTTTTGTACCATAAAGCGCGTATAGAAATGACAAATGTGGAAGCCATGCACTTCGACGACCCGACACTGCTGAGACAAGGAGAATTTCATCAGGCAGCAGTGTACACAGTTCATCCAGACAGGGTCACACTCTGAGGGCCTCAGTGTGGCTCTCTTTCACTGCCAGCAGAGGATGAGAGGTCCCAAAGAGTGTCAGTCAGCTCTCCTTCACTGAATAACTAACTTGAAGTGGGAAAGGGCTATTTGGGCTCAAGTTGCGGAAGTTTCAGTGCCTGATCAATTGGCTCCAATGCTCTGGACCTGTGACGAGGCTGTGCATGGTAGAAGGAGCACGTGGGAGAGAGAAAGGGCGCTCACCTCATGACAACTACAAGAGAGGGAAGAAGAGGAAGGGACCAGGACCCCACAATCCCCTTCCAGGACATGGCCCCAGGGACCAGAAGATTCCTCTAGGGCCCCCTGTGCAGTTTCACCATCTCCCAGTGACACTGAGCTGGGGACCAAGCTTTGAACACGGAGGCTTCGGAGGACATTCAAATGCACAGCGAGCATAGTGCTCCTGACTCTCACATACCTGCAGATGCACAGAAGCCAAATGAGACTCTGCAGTCTTGTTGTCCAAACTATGACCTGACTGTCCACTCCAATGGTGGGCTTGTCTCACCAGCAATGTTCCGAAGGCACAGTGGTCTGTGAGGCTGTGAAATAGTTGTAAGTATAACCTTTAGAGGTCTTTTGGGAATTTTCAACACTGTAGTTCCAAAAGAGAACTCATTTTGGAAAAAAAAAAAAATGTCCCCTGTGACCTCCCCAGGAAACCCGTGGCACCGTTCCTGGAAGTGAGGCTCAGCAGCAGACTGGACAAGTTCAGCCCCCAGGAGGCTGGTCACCCTTCCTCTGGTTTCATACCTGAGTTTGAGACTCAAAGCCTCTCAGAAAAGTGTTGGGACACTTGCCAAATCCAGTGCACTTGCAGAATTTGGGAGCCATGGACGGTGACAGCATATATCAATTTGAAACAGTCATGCTCCATTGTTAGTGCATGATTCTTGACTTTGGATCTGGAAAAAAACTTTACCTTATGTCTAAATGTGTTAAGAAGGAGCTAAGAAAAAAATGATTTTGATAGGCCAGAAAGGCAAGGGTAGAAAAGAGCAGAGTTTACAGTTTTTGCTTTAATTTCTTTTTTCTCTTTGAAAGCTTTGAGAAGAGAGCAAGAAGGATGAAATTTTTGAAGGAAAAAGGGTAAAGAAACAAAGATAAGCAGAAGGAAGAGGTAATTGTACACTATAATTTGCTAACAAAGAATTGTATAAGTTGCCAACCTGTGTAAATTATATACAGTAGGGAAAAGGCCTCCAAGCAGAAGGAAATATAATCGCTTCATCTATTTTTTTCTCCATCCGTGTTTCTAACACTAACTTTATTGTATGAGTGAATTATACAGAAACACATTCATTCCTCTGATTACCTTTGAAGCACACAGTTGTGCACACCAGGACCCCTGGACAAACTTTCACTGTGTGATTGGAGCCCTCTCATGTCCGGGGACTCTGCAAGCATGCACATTTCCAAACTCTTCTACAAAGGTGAATAACTCAGTCTTCTCTCTTAGCAGAGCCCTCTGGGTGCATTCCTACAGCTAAGATGTAAGCTGGTAATGCTGAGCCTGCTCTGACAATCACCATTTAATATCTCTGTTCTTTTACACACTTTCACTGACTTCCTGAAAAGTCTTTGGGTGGAACCACCAGACCATGCTGTTTGATTAGTACAGACAAGACAGAGTTCAGCGCTGAGGGAAAAGAGTATTATATTCTAGCACAGTTCTGCTACAAAGCTTGCTCTGGGACTGGCCACTGGCTGCTTTGTCAGAGTCTGTCTTTCCCTGTGATTTTAACTGAAACTGGAGGTTCCTCAAAAGAAACCAGACATTATGGAGAAATTTGTCTTCTGAAACATTTGGTGCATCTAACCAAACTCTCCCATGGCTCTCTGACCACCCTGATTCCTTCCTCTCAGGCCCCATTGTTAGCTGCCTCCTCTACTGGACCCTTAAGCCTCAGATCAACTTGACATGCCAACCCAGGCCTCACCTCCTTGTAACACAGTGCAATCCTGCAAAATTCTCAAGTGCATCTTGACTGCAAGTGCTACCTGCGTATATTTCAAAATCTTGTACCTATTCCTGCTTTACTGAACTTCAGATCTTCCTACCTGGCCACTTGCTCTAAATGTCTCATAAAAGCTCTTGGCAAACAAAAGTGAATTTGACCCAAATTGACCCTCCCATGTTTTTAATCAAAACAAATGACCCCACCTACAATTTCGAGTATTCTTTTGAATTTTCCCTTCTTCTTGGTCCACTCAATCACCAAGTCAATAAATTCTGTCTCTGAAATCCCTTTGACATGTATCCCCCTTTCCTGTTTAATCATCATTAGCACAGCCCAAGTCACATAAATTAATGCACACACACACACACACACACACACACACACACACATTCATTCCCTCTGTTCAACTTTTTAAAACGCACACCTGATCAAATCATTTCTCAGTTTTAAACATTTTTGCGGCTCTCTGGGGGGACCCCGTCCCGCGGGGAATAGGAGATGAGAGCCGCCTCTTATTCGTGGGTCATCAGAGGCCGATCCGATCTTGAATGTCTGTGGAGGAAATCTTTAAGAAGTTAGAGTACACGGCCCAAGTCTGGTTTCTGATCAAAGGCGCTTTATTGGCTCAGCAAAACGATTATATACTGTTATCCCAGGGGGAGGGTTCAGCAAGCTTATTGGACAGCTCAAGCAAATCCTCTACCAATCACATGAGTCATTCAAGCATTTAACCATACAGCAATCAGTATTTTACCAAATGTGGGGAGGGGTAAGTGCATAATCCCTAGGGGCAAGTAGGACAAGGAAATACCACCTGCTTCCTGCTCCAGATCCCGTGACCCTGTGGTTAGCACAAAGGGCTATTTTTTCTGTAAGATTTCCTGTTTTGCCCAGGGGCTAGACCTGCCAAAGGTCACGTATGTAGTCTAGTGGGATTTTTCCACTGAGGCAAAGGCTAAGGTTGAGGGCAGCCTTCTTATGCAGGCCCAAGCAGTCTCTCACACATTTTGATGACTTTTATGATGCATTTTCAAATTCTTATTATGGCCCCCAAACCCTCCGTTCTGTCGTTCTTTCCCTGGCCCCATGGCCCTCTGGATGTTCATCCATGCATTCTTATTCAGCACACTCTCTCCCAGCACTTAGCTCACTAGCTAATTATTAATACAAATGAGTATTCTAAATGTGAAAGTTGCTTTTGTTGTTACAGTGCAGGTAGAAAATAAGCTGTTCATGTATTCTTTAGTTGAGCCATAACGAAAAGGAAAGAAAGCAAGCTAAGACTGCAGCGGAGAGAGGAAGCCGCCTGCCCGGGCTTGTGGCTGCTCTGGACTCTCAGATCCTGCACTCTGGAAGCTCTGACTTTGCGGTGATGAAGAAACTAAAATTGATGGGAGACTTTCGATTAATCGACTGATCAAGTAGAAGCCTGGGCCCCTAAAGATGAAATCCTCATAACCCTTGCTCCATAGCCCATGTGCCAAGCTTCAGTTTCCTGTAATTTCTTTTCATCTACATCAAAGAGATATTAAGTCTCCAAAGTCAAATTGTATTTCACTAAGCAAGTATATCTTTAACACCTGAGGTGCTACTTTAACCTCTCAGCTTGAGGGAAATTCTTGGATGATGGGGTGATGAACACTGGGAAGGGTATGTAATTGCACCAATTCTGTCAAACAATATCCAAGCCTAGGTGTTTTCTTTGTTCTCCAGCTGTACAAATTACCTGTGAAACTTGTGGGGGACAAGAAACTACCTAACTGCAGTCAAATGTTCTACCACTGGGGTATACCCCCTTTAAAAACTACCTCATATTCTCCCTTCCAGAAGTGCTTGGATTTACCACTGAGTGATGACTTTCGCTAGTTCCTACTTTACACACAGGACAAGCTTGCTCTTTCCAAGCTTTGGAACCATGTCCGTAGGCATATGTGTGATTCTCTATGTAAATGTAGGAAAAAAATAGATTCCCAAATGGAATAACATGGTTGGATATACTGAATTCCTCCAGTTTTTCATCCCGGCTCTGCCTCATTAGTAATTTAGAAGTGCAGTAGATGTGTGAAGGCAGGTTTTCAGATCACTATTAGCACAGTCTTGTAAGACTTTCCTTGGTTTGAAAAATATCTCATTTGTTACATCTCTTTTCTGGCTTCAAAGATTCAGTAATGCTTTTGGAAATTACATAAAAATGAAATAATTTTGACACATGTTTAACAAAAAGCTGTTTATTTTCCACTCATAATAAAATTCAGAATAAACAAACGGTGAAATGCAGAACTAGAATTACTTAATGTCTTCAGAAAGTGATCACAATATAATTCTTATGCTATATCTATATTTCAGTAATTAGTAGTAATAGAACTGACAAGTAGCATGTATTTATTTATAAGAAAGTTTGAGATTTCAAGAGAATGTTCAAAACAAAAATTTACAAGACTGAAACACTGAAGGTTTTTTCAATTTTGGACTTTATTTCTCTTGTAAAGGTAAAGGGTATTAGATTCCCCTTGCCTTAAGATGGTTGCCACATGGAATAGCAGCCTCCGTGTTAAAACATGGCTTCTCCCAACAAAAGACAGTCTGCTTCTTCCCATGATGCTTCTTCTCCGCCAAAAGAGTAACCTGATACTTGCTACCTCCTAGCAGCTAGTGTTGTCACACGCCCCTCCTAGTGATGTCACAGGCTCCTCCAATCCCTTAACACAAACTCACTCAACTCCACCCCAGCTCGTGTTAACCCCATCCCACTCCTATGAAAGAAGCTCCCTGTTCTGCCATGTTGCTTTCTCTCCTTTGTTCAGAGACAGCCTGGCAGATCCTCCCCGTAATAAAAGGCTGTTATGGTCCTGGTTTTCAGTTCTTTTTTACCTAACAGGTATTAGAAGTTATAGTATGGATTTCATGATGATTGTTTTTGAAGTGATTTTACTTGAATCTAGTCAGAAATGTGTTTTTAGTAGTTTAGGTCTTTCAAACTACATAATATTACCTTCATCATGACATATATTTGCAACTTTTCACCATTTTTGTATAGCTTTAAAGGCATTTTTAAAAATCTAAGAGAGGCTGAATTATACTAAATGGATAACTCTAGTTCATCAATTTATGTCTTAAAATTATGCAAAATGTTAAATAAAATTATCAAATTGGGGGCAAATTCATGATACCTCAACAAAACTTAATTGTAAATAATGTTTTAAAAGATTATACAAAGATATGGAAGACCAGGCATTTTAGATACCACTTTTTAAAATTTTTCCTAATCTTTTCTGGTGAATGAAGAGGCACACAAAAATTTACTAATAATAGTAATCACTAACATTTATTTATGTGCCAGATACAATTCAATCCTTAAAGCAAGCCTCTAAGGCAGTCATGGTCACCTCTGTTGGCACGCAGTGGAGATGAGAGATGGTTTCTAGTCAGGTTACTCATCAGGATGGCACAAGTACAGGAGAAAGAACCATGATTTCAGTCAGGTCCCTTGTGCTCCTCAGACCGCAGACTCGTAACTTCTCTGCTGTACCCCTTTCCAACAGTGGGTATGAAATATTTTTTGTAACAATTCATAGCTTGCATTTTCTAATCAAATTGCTTCATGGAATTATCTCCAGTTCCTTTAGGGTTAGCTTTAGGCCTTGTCCATGCCATACCCCAAGGTCTAAAGAGCTAAGGACAAAGTGAAATGTTGATCACTGTCCTCCAATAAAACTTGTCAATATACAACTAAATTACTTCCAGAAATATCGGGTCAGTTAATATTTATTGAAACTTCTTTTTTTCAGGCTTACCTTATTCATTACCTGCCTGCATTTTTCTGATTGTGTTGAAGTCTGTATAAGAGTTAATAATGTAATGAAATAAATACATTCATGGATGGTATTACAAAGGTGACTTTTTCAAGAAAGAGTCAAACAGCATCCGATGAATTGTGTCGTCCACATACTGGTTTTTCTCTGAGGTGGCCTGTCGCTTGTGGGCTTGTTGGCCTCCTTCTGTTTATCTGTAGAACTCATGGCTGACAGGCACAAGAGTGCATGCCAATCAGAAATGAATCACAAACCTTGCAGTGAATATTAAAATGGGATTAAAGTTGAGATGAAGATCACCACGTCCATGGTTAGGGGACTCCCCGAGATACCTCAGTTCTCTTTACACCACCTGCTATGAAAAGTTGCTGTGGAGAATGCTTAGAGTTTGTATTCACCAAGCTTACTGATCCTAGGAGTTAACTTCTTATCCCATGGCTCAGTCTTTAGGCTGAAACAGGAAACTCCGTGTCAGGAAAACATACTCCCACCCTCTGCTTGATTGGTTGGTCCAGAAGCTCCACCTAGAATAATAACAGGTCCTTTGCCCTAGAACCTGAGTTCTGAAACTAGAAGATACAAAGGTGGAGGAACATCACTGGAGGCAAGTCACGATGATGGCTTGCTCTGGAAAGAAAGCATGCCTGGAGTTCGTTCACTTCTCTGATTCCATGACAGACCTAATCCTACCAATAAATTCCTCTCCTGGATATAAGCTGGACAAATTTGTTTCTTGCCACATGCAACCAAAATACTCTAATAAATATAGAGCTGGATATTTCCAGAAACAAATTCTTCAGACAAGTTAAAATGTGAACATTACATAGAGCAAGTTTAGAACATCTCCTTGCAGGTGAGTTCGATTTGCAAGCAGCTATGTACATAGGTGAGATTATTTACTGCCCATATGGAGGGTACTTGAGAGAAAAGAACATGTCTCTAATTTTGTGCAGAGAAACTTAGATTTTATTCTTTTTCCCAGTGGCATGAAGATAGATTTAAAAACAGAATAGCACAGTTCTAAACTCCTTTTAGTAGAGGACCAATTAAATAAATTATGGTATATCTATTGAAAAAATATGACAGATCCATATATATCAATAGCAAAAAATATTTAAGTAAATGCAACAAGTTCAGAGCAGCATGTAGAGTATAATCATATTCAAATTGCCATCTTGCATCTTGTAGGACTATTATTTCTGGAAAAGTAACTAAGAGTATATAAATAATGGCTACCCTCTGCTATATAAATAGGTTGTCAGAAGGGAAGTAGCATTTCCCATTTAATGTCTTTCTAAATTGCTTTATTAATACTATGAAAATATCTTACCTTATTTACCAGCCATATGCCTCAAGGTGAGCTGCTTGTCCTTTGTGAACTTTCATTTATTCTGTAAAATAGTGATAATCATATCACCTGGGATACTTAAATACAAAGTTGTTCTTTCAACTCTAAGACCTGAAGTCCGCCATCTTTAAACCTCTAGACCTGGCTTTGGCAGGAGAACAGCCCATCCATGGACCATGAGTGACACAGGCAAAAGTGTATTTGTGTAGATGTGTGTTTTCTCCAAAGAACACCTGAGTTTCAATTGGGCCTGGAAACCAAAAGGTCCTAAATGAGTGCAGTAGACTAAAAGCTCTGAGAGGGCCACTTGTTACTCATCTTTGTATTCCTAGGCC